CAGTGCTCAGAACCGACAACTACTCAACAGTGCTCAGAACCGACAACCACTCAACAGTGCTCAGAGCTGACAACTACTCAACAGTGCTCAGAACCGACAACTATTCAACAGTGCTCAGAACCGACAACTACTAAACAGTGCTCAGAACCGACAACTACTCAACAGTGCTCAAAACCGACAACTACTCAACAGTGCTCAGAACCGACAACCACTCAACAGTGCTCAGAACCGACAACTACTCAACAGTGCTCAGAACCGACAACTACTCATCAGTGCTCAAAACCGACAACTATTCAACAGTGCTCAGAACTGACAACCACTCAACAGTGCTCAGAACCGACAACTACTAAACAGTACTCAGAACCGACAACCACTCAACAGTGCTCAGAGCTGACAACTACTCAACAGTGCCCAGACCTGTCTACCACTCAACAGTGCTCAGAACTTGTGTTTTCTGATTTGTGTGTTCAAATAAAGTCTACAGAAATATTAAAAGATGTATCCGGATCAGCAAGAAGTGGAGCCATGTTGGCTGTGATGGGACCGAGCGGTAATTAACAAAACTATGAAATAGTAATAATATGTATTAGTATTGAAGTGCATTGATTGCAATAGGTAAATAATTGGCCGATCGATAGCGATCTCTTGCACTGTATATGCCCTACAGAGATAAAATAACAGTTTTGCTTCACTCCAAGCATTCTCTTTGTATTCCGTCAATTTCGTACATAGTAAAGTAATAACCGGCGTCAATATTTTACTTTAAACAACTTTTTCTCAATGAGCCTAGGGTGATGATATTTGGTCAGAAGCAAACTAGGATGAAGGGCTACCAAGCTTGTTCAAATAAATGACTTTTACCTATATTCAAGGTCACAGGGGTCAAATATGTGAAAAAAATTTAAACAACTTCTTCTGAATAACCAAAATGCCCAGGGTGATGATATTTGGATAGTAACATGCTGGGATAAAGGGCTACCAAGTTTGTTCAAATGAATGACCTTGACTTATATTTAAGGTCACAGGGATCAAATATGTTTAAAATCTTTAAACAACTTCTTCTGAATAACCAAGAGGTCTAGGGTAATGATATTTGGTCAGTAATATGCTGGGATGGGCTACCAACTTTGTTCAAACGAATTACCTTGATTTATATTCAATGTCACAGGGGTCAAATATGTTTAAAATCTTTAAACAACTTTTTTTCTGAAAAGCCAAGAGGTCTAGGGTAAGGATATTTGGACAGTATTATACTGGGATGAAGGGCTACCAAGTTTGTTCAAATGAATGACCTTTGCCCATTTTAAAGGTCACAGAGGTCAAATATAATAAATTATTTCATCATCTTCTTCTGAATAACCAGAAGGCCCAGAGTGATGTTATTTGGCCAGGGAAATGCTGGGATGAAGGGTTACCAAATTTGTTCAATTGAATGACCTTGACTTATATTCCAGGTCACAGGGGTCAAATATGTTTAAAATCTTTAAACAACTTCTTTTAAATAACCAAGAGGTCTAGGGTAATGATATTTGATCAGTAATATGCTGGGATGGGCTACCAACTTTGTTCAAACGAATTACCTTGATTTATATTCAAGGTCACAGGGGTCAAATATGTTTAAAACCTTTACACAACTTCCTCTGAATAACCGAACGGCCTAGGATGGTGATATTCTGTCAGTAGCATGCTTGGATAAATGGCTACCAAGTTTGTTGAAATGAATGACCTTTGTCCATATTCATGGTAACAGAGGTCAAATATAATAAATTCTTTCAACAACTTTTTCTGAAAAACCAGAAGGCCGAGGGTGATGATATTTGGTCAGGGACATGCTTGGATGAAAGGCTACCAAGTTCGTTCAAATAAATGAATTTGATTTATATTTAGGGTCACCGGGGTTAAATATGTATAAAACGTTTAAACAACTTCTTTTGAATAACCAAGAGGTCTAAGGTAATGATATTTGGCCAGTAGTATGCTGGAATGAAGGGCTACCAAGTTTGTGCAAATGAATGACCTTGACTGATATTCAATGTCACAGGGGTCAAATATGTGTAAAACATTAAAAGAACTTTTTCTGAATAACCAAGTGGTCTATGGTAATGATATTTGGCTAGTAGCATGCTGGGATGAAAGACTACCAAGTTTGTTCAAATGAATGACCTTGATTTTTAGTCAAGGTCACAGGGGACAAATATTTTTAAAACCTTTACACAACTTCTTGTGAATAACCGAACGGTCTAGGATGATGATATTTAGTCAGTAGCATGCTGGAATTAAGGGCTACCAAGTTTGTTCAAATTAATGATCTTGACAGATATTCAAGGTCACAGGGGACAAATATGTTTAAAACCTTTTAACAACTATTTCTTAATTACCAAACGGTTTAAGATGATGATATTTTGTCAGTAGCATGCTGGGATGAAGAGTTACCAGGTTTGTTCAAATGAATGACCTTGGCAGCTATTCAAGGTCAGAGGGGTCAAATAGGTGTAAAACCTTTAAACAACTTCTTCTGAATAACCAAGAGGCCTAGTGGGATGATATTTGGCTAGTAACATGCTGGGATGAAGGTCACAGGGTCAAATATGTGTAGAACCTTTAAACAACTTCTTCTGAATTACCAGAAGTCATAGGATGATGATATTTAACCTGTTTTCATGGGGGTTGTTCATGGTGTTTTTCTGTTGTTTTATTTGTCTCTTGTTGATTTGTTGTCGTGTTGACTGTGAAACCCATTTTTATTGTTTCCATGTTTACTTTATGATTTTATTATTTGTACATTATTTAATTAATGCTACAGGTTCAGGGAAGACAACTCTTCTTCATTCTCTGGCCGGAAAAGTCAATATTATTTCCGGGGACATAACTCTTAATGGATCACCATTTAACAAGCAACAGCGCCGTCGTCTTGGTTACGTGATGCAGGACGATGTATTCCTTTCCAACCTGACGTTGTGGGAAACACTTTATGTACGTGTCATGATAATGCCACTTAAATAAATATAATCTAGTGATTAGTTAAATGTATTGTTGCATGTGTTTTGTTAATTTTTTAACTTGTTAAATCTGCAGGTAGCACACTTTCTATTCAATTAGAACAAATAATATGTTCATGGTCTATACACTGCAAGAAATGTGGCTTCCTACATTATTATTGTACCTATGTTTTTAGACAAAATGCAAACACTTTTGTTATTTTAGGTGATAAAATAAAATAATGTATAAATGATTATATGTACATCAAGAAAAAGTTGATTAGATAATTCGAAAGCCATTTTTTAGATACCATTATCTGAGTGTGCCGTTCAGACGATAAAAACATTTGTTCGATTCTGATTTTAGACAGTTAAACTTCCTCCCACAGCAAATTGTTATTCGAGTGAGTATTTGGTGTCTTTTTGTGTGACTGTACTTCTATATTAAATGATTGGTAATGTGCTTACCAGAGCAGGCCTACGCTGTACTCGCCCAGAAAACTTGTGTGTAGGTGTTGTTGCCTTTCTATATTCTCATTGTCCTTGCTGACATAATCCGTTTGTGATTCGGCACCGGTTTGCCCCTTTGTGTTTAATTTATAATCATGTATTAATGTACTCTCTTGTTATTGCAATCTTTTTAGTTTACAGCCATGGTACGAGTGTCGGACAGAATTCCTAAGCAGGAGAAGTTGGATCAAATACAAAAGATTGTCACAGCTCTTAAACTTCAGCACTGTCTCAATACAGGTATACTGATACAACACATGTATGTCCCACTAATAAAGCTCGCCGTGTTGTTATTATAGATGATCACACTGTATTCTAATGACAAATACTGTTGTCGCTTCCACAAGTTTACGATGAATCTATAATGCAAACAAATATATTGAATATTTTGAAAATTAAGGTTAGTATGACAGAGTAAACATCCTTTAACTAAATGCTACGTCTTTAATTCTTCCGGGTCAGTGTTATTATTCAGAATATGAGAACCAAGTCGACATTTTTAACTATGAAGCCTCTGTTTCTGTGCTTTAAGTAATTGGAGACATATTCCAGAGGGGGTTATCAGGAGGGGAGAGGAAAAGGACGCACATAGCGTGTGAGTTGTTGACAGATCCGGACATATTCCTCGTAGATGTGAGTGGCTTTAGATGACCGATTCGCTTAAAAGTTGTAATTTATGAATTTGTCAGCCATCCACTGCAATACAAACCAGCATTACTTTGATGAATAATGTTTTTCCATTATTTATTTTGTTTAACTTTGTCCCTGAATATAATTTGTAACATCAATCATAATGATTAACTTCCTTATTTAACGAAATGTCGTCATATTGGATATGCATTTTATTTAGAAAATGTTCAATGATAATGACGTCATTATGTAAATGATGTCACAATTGTCTGAAGAAAACTTTCTTTTTAATAGCTAAAAATGATTAAAAAGTTTATAGTATATATAATGACTGCAAATATAGAGATACATAACAGGTATCGTTATGTTATCAGCCTTGATTATACTCGCTCCATGTTTAGAACAAATAAAAGGGTTCTCGTCTTAATAGGAGCCAACGTCCGGTTTAGACTCGAGTACTGCACACAGTCTGATGGTACAACTGAAGAACTACGCCACGGAGTACAACAAGACTATAGTGGTCACCATTCACCAGCCCTCCAGTAAAATCTTCCACATGTTCTCCTCGTTACTGCTGCTGGTGGAGGGGCAGGTTTGATACTTAAATATTAACTTTATTTTGTTTATTATGGTTGAAAGAGGTAGGAAAACAGGTAGCTCTGTATGTGTTGACGACAATTACTTTCCAAATAATATAATAAAAACAAGACTTTCCGAAATTGCTACACACCTTTTTTGAGTAATTGATTGTATTAGATAAGAAATATACTCATTTATAATACTTTATTATTTTATATATATACTTATTGTTAAGGCTACGAAATCGATTTTTATTTACAGTCGGTGTACTGTGGTCCTGCTCCCTCAGCTATCCCTCACTTCACTTGCCTCGGATTCCCGTATAATTCGCGGTTTAATCCTGCTGACTACTTGTGTAAGTTTGTTAAAAGTCGAGGCGAAGCATCGCTATTAGATGGATTGTATCACTAGTGCTATCACTATTGTCTGAGACTACGAACCACTTCGGTGAAACATGCACATTGTATCAATCAGTCATGCAAATACATTTCTGCTTGAATTATTATTTTAATGACAAGAGATAAAAGAACCCTTATACCATGCTTGGAAATTTTTAAAACTTTCAGTATGCCTTTATATTAAAAAGTTACATAATTGGCTTTTCAGTAGGACTGTTAGATTCAGATGAACTTACCATCAATACAATAAAGACCCGAAGCAAGGAGCTCAGGTAAAACACATTGTGCGTTGGTAAACCTGCTATTATCTGGATAATAGTATTCAAATTAATAAATATCTTAGGAAGAACTGCCAGAGACTCATTTCTATATTTTGCTTTGGTATTCCGTCTTTGCGTATTGCAGAGCTATCTTCTCTTGTGAGCAGGTATTAATTGTTACGTCATTGGTTTGTGTGAGAACATTACGCCGTTTTCACAAAAAATGATGTCGTAACTCTCACAAACCAATGACGTAACAATCATTACATGCTCACAAGAGAAGATAACTCTGCAATACGCAAAGACAGAATAGCCCCAGAAACTCAGATTGACCCTATTTGTTTACATTAAACACATTTATGCTTTTAGTGCTAATCTAAATTTATTCGGCGCTACGGAATAATTTTATATTCTTTTTGAACAATGATTATTTGAAGGCTAGGTGCCGCACGGGTTATCCTCAGGGACATTCAAAGGAATTCTTTATTTCAAAGCTTCGTTTGAGGTATTTTTATAAACACTTTGATATGTAAAACCTTATAAAATCGATCTGGTCGATTTGTTTAAGGTTTAATACACGTCAGAGTTTTTATTGATATTTCCAAATGTTGGAATAAAAACTGCAAGTCCTGCAGTATACTTATTACTGGCAAGACGTACACCTCACAAATAAAAAAATATTGTACAAGGAGCTTTGAACCATTGAACTTTAACGGTTTTCAATGTCTTTTTTATGTTCTCGTTATTAGCAATGCCCAGACTGTGCCAATTGGCTATCCACAGCATCAATGCCAGGACAATAGTACAGCCTCTAGGAGTGACACGGACAAGACAACTGGGGCGTTCGGTAAGATATCATATTTCAATATACAAGAAAGCATTTTCCAAATTTCTGACTGGGCAATCTAATAGTTTAAATAACTATCTTATCATGAATTCAAAATTAATATTCCTTTAAAACAAACTCTTGTTGAACATGCTCTTAACGTGATTCGCGAGTACATACTATCATCTTGGTATCACAGTCTTAGCTCTGGAGGAGAGGGAGACAGCTCGCTGGCTAACATCGTCCTGGAACCAGTTAAAGATGTTGAACTGGAGATCCTATAAGCAAGCGAAAGGAAGAATATTCCAAAAATATGACGTCATACATGCTATCTTGTTGGCTGTCATATTTGGAATGGTGTACTTCCAAATTGAAAACAGCGAAAAGACATTACGAGATAAGATGGGACTGGTATGTAAACTAAATACATTATCTGCTAACATGTGAAGTCCATTTCATTTCCCGAATAAATCTATGAATTCATCATTTTAACAAATTTGGTTGACAAAGATGTAATACACAGCATGATTTAATACTAGGTAAAATCCAAGATCGATTTTCTCAAGTACGTTTGCAAATATGATTAATAAAATTAACAGTTTGCATTGACATTAATACGATTAAGAATGCAATAAACCGACAAGACACAAAACAAGCTCCCCATGGGCAAGTTCTAGGATACAAACACACACACAATTATGTCACCCTGGTAAAAACTCTAGCCGCTTCCTACCGACTCAACTAGGGTGTCATTAAAACGTCTTTACATTGATGCACAACGTTGGGCCCCAGGAAATAACGACAAAAAAGGCATAGCTGTTCTATCCTTGAGAGGGAGTATGTCACCCTGGGGACTAACCCTTTCCCGTTCGACAAGACTGGGGACAATATATCGGTAGCGCAATCAATAGAGCACCAGGCTTGTACACCGGTGGTCCCGAGTTTGACCCTAAGCGGAAGCATCAAAAAACAGTTACTGCTGTAACATGAATGAAAGAAACTTTATTCATTCGATCTAAGCACTAAACAAATATTATTACAGATGAATCAATTATCGTTAACGATGAGAACAAGAAATTCTTACGGGAAAACCATTTCTAGATTTGTCTAGTTTGTGACGTCTCCTACGTCCCTAAATGACCTTAGCTCTTGGTAGGACATGAATCAAAATACACCGGGGATCTATCGCTAATTTCAGTATAGTATCAATATGTCTACTGAGGCAGTCCACTAAAACCATCGTCCTATAATATATGTCACCCTAACATTTTTTATTTATAGGTTTGCATTTCTCTTCTGCATTGGGAGTTTCAAATCACTGTTTCAACGATACTGAGTTGTAAGTAATATTTTGTTAACCTTATCATGCTAGCCGTAAGTAATATTTTGTTTACCTTCGCATGCTAGCCGTAAGTAGCATTTTGTTGACCTTATCATGCTAGCCGTAAGTAGCATTTTGTTGACCGTATCATCCTAGCCGTAAGTAATATTTGTTGACCGTATCATGCTAGCCGTAAGTTATATTTTGTTGACCTTATCATGCTAACCGGAAGTAATATTTTGTTAATCTTATCATCATAGCCGTAAGTAATATGTTGTTAATCTTATCATGCTAGCCGTGAGTAATATTTTGTTGACCTTATCATGCTAGCCGTAAGTAATATTTTGTTGACCTCATCATGCTAACCGTAAGTAATATTTTGTTATTCTTATCATGATAGCCGTAAGTAATATTTTGTTGACCTTATCATGGTAGCCGTAAGTAATATTTTGTTGACCTCATCATGCTAACCGTAAGTAATATTTTGTTGACCTCATCATGGTAGCCGTAAGATGCTAGCCGTAAGTAACATTTTGTTCACCTTATCATGCTAGCCGTACGTTATATTTTGTTGACCGTATCATAATAGCCGTAAGTAAATTTTGTTGACCGTATCATGCTAGCCGTAAATAGCATTTTGTTGACCGTATCATGCTAGCCGTAAGTAATATTTTGTTGACCTTATCATGCTAGCCGTAAGTAATATTGTGTTGACCGTATCATAATAGCCGTAAGTAAATTTTGTTGACCGTATCATGCTAGCCTTAAGTAATATTTTGTTGACCGGATCGTACTAGCCGTAAGTAAATTTGGTTGACCTTATCATGCTAGCCGTACGTAATATTTTGTGGACCTCATCATGCTAGACGTAAGTAATATTTTGTTGACCTCATCATATTAGCCGTAAGATGCTAGCCGTAAGTAACATTTTGTTCACCTTATCATGATAGCCGTAAGTTATATTTTGGTGACCTTATCATGCTTGGCGTAAGTTATATTTTCTCCACCTTATCATGCTAGCCGTACATAGCATTTTGTTGACCGTATTATGCTAGCCGTAAATAGCATTTTGTTGACCTTATCATAATAGCCGTAAGGAAATTTTGTTGACCGTATCATGCTAGCCGTAAGTAATATTTTGTTGACTGTATCATGCTAGCCGTACGTTTTATTTTGTTAACCTTATCATGCTTGCCGTAAGTTATATTTTGTTGACCTTATCATGCTAGCGTATGTTATATTTTGTTGACCGTATCATGCTAGCCGTACGTTTCATTTTGTTAACCTTATCATGCTTGCCGTAAGTTATATTTTGTTGACCTTATCATGCTAGCGTATGTTATATTTTGTTGACCTTGTCATGCTAGCATTAAGTTATATTTTGTTGACCGTATCATGCTAGTCGTAAGTAATATTTTGGTGACCTTATCATGCTAGCCGTAAGTAGCATTTTGTTAACCGTATCATGCTAGCCGTGAGTAGCATTTTGTTGACCGTATCATGCTAGCTGTCAGTAACATTTTGTTAACCTTATCAAGCTAGCCGTAAGTAACATTTTGTTGACCTTATCATGCTAGCCGTAAAAAGCATTTTGTTGACCGTATTATGCTAGCCGTAAGTAACATTTTGTTCACCTTATCATGCTAGCCGTACGTTATATTTTGTTGACCGTATCATGCTAGCCGTAAGAAATATTTGTTTACCGAAGCATGCTAGCCCTAAATAATATTTGTTGACCGTATCATGCTAGCCATAAGTAATATTGTGTTGACCGTATCATAATAGCCGTAAGTAAATTTTGTTGACCGTATCATGCTAGCCGTAAATAGCATTTTGTTGACCGTATCATGCTAGCCGTACGTTTTATTTTGTTGACCTTATCATGCTTGCGTATGTTATATTTTGTTGACCTTGTCATGCTAGCGTATGTTATATTTTGTTGACCTTGTCATGCTAGCCGTAAGTTATATTTTGTTGACCGTATCATGCTAGTCGTAAGTAATATTTTGTTGACCTTATCATGCTAGCCGTAAGTAGCATTTTGTTAACCGTATCATGCTAGCCGTGAGTAGCACTTTGTTGACCGTATCATGCTTGCCGTAATTAGCATTTTGTTGACCGTATCATGCTAGCTGTCAGTAACATTTTGTTGACCTTATCAAGCTAGCCGTAAGTAACATTTTGTTGACCTTATCATGCTAGCCGTAAATAGCATTTTGTTGACCGTATTATGCTAGCCGTAAGTAACATTTTGTTCACCTTATCATGCTAGTCGTACGTTAAATTTTGTTGACCGTATCATACTAGCCGTAAGTTATATTTTGTTGACCGTATCATGCTAGCCGTAAGTAATGTTTTGTTGACCGTACCATGCTAGCCGTAAGTAACATTTGTTGACCTTAGCATGCTAGCCGTAAGTAATATTTGTTGACCGCATCATGCTAGCCGTAAGTAATATTTTGTTAACCTTATCATGCTAGCCGTACGTTATATTTTGTTGACCGTATCATACTAGCCGTAAGTTATATTTTGTTGACCGTATCATGCTAGCCGTAAGTAATATTTTGTTGACCTAACGTTATTTGTTCCCACACTTTTACATCTACAGTAACACATCTCTAACAGGCTCGTTTACTGACATGCTTAATGAAAAACTATATTTAACTCATTACATTTCATATCGGTTAGATTTTAAGGATATCTTCTTATTAAAATATAGAGCTATGGTCGAGTGGCGCAGCGGATAACGAACTTCCCTTTCATCAAAGCGGCCGAGTACGATTAACGAATCGGACGTGAAAAAATACATATAGGGCCAACTCCCCGTCCACATGGGTTTTCATCGGCTTCGCCAGTTTCTTCCCGCATTAAACCCGAGCTATAACATCCGGGCTATAACATCCGGGCCAACAAGAGTGATTAATATAAGTGGAGATAACTTATTTCATTATTATTTTAAAATTAAATAAAGTTGATATTTTTAAAGGAATTAACTCGGATATAACTCTAAGCATTACAGTTATCATGCAATTGCTTTTGGTAGAGTATTTCGAAATAGTACCAATGAAAGCATTTGTTTCTTTCAGCTTACATTATTTTCACAAATTTAATAGACGCATTAAGTCCCGTTAGTATAAACATATGTCTCTATTATATGATATTTCTTCCTTCTGTCAGTGACTACAATCAGTTCCCCTGGTGTTTGTCACATAATCTGGTGCTGATGAAGCAAATACATATTTGCATGTGTTATAAGCTATTGGTTCTTATCAATCGGCTATATCTAGCATAAAACTTTTGTTATTTTCTATGCATACCCCATGATATTCCAAAACAACGTCACCTTATGTCATTCCTGTCTAGCAGCACTGGTTATTTTTTAACTTATATAGTATTATCTATCTCATCATAACTTAATTTACTCAGGAAGATTTTAATCGCTGTAATACAATAACTTGTCGACTTTTATTGTTGTTACAGACTCCGCTGATAGAGATGTTGTCTGGAAGGAGAGAACAGTTGGAGCCTACAGTCTGTCCATCTTCTATCTGTCCAAACTAACAAGTGAACTACCCCTACTACTGGTCATACCGACCCTGTTTAACACGGCCGTGTACTGGACAGCTGGTCTCGGAGGTGTGGTCGGTTACTTCGTCTATTGTAGTATCGGAATCCTTAACTGTCTTTTGATACAGGTGAGTTAAATATCTTGTAGTGATATTTGATGTGTCATTTTGATGTTTGTCTCGAAAAGACTTTGTAATGTATACGCATTTTAATATAAGGGAATTCAAACACGCTAGATCATTGCATACTAAAAAACAAAATTGATAATTTTTCAAAACACGAGGAGAAAATTTCGCTCAAAGTTGATACAAAAAACAACAGCAGGAGATAAGGAGACAACAAAACAAAGACAACAGCAGAAGATAAGGAGACAACAAAACAAAGACAACAGAAGGAGATAAGGAGACAACAAAACAAAGACAACAGCAGAAGATAAGGAGACAACAAAACAAAGACAACAGCAGAAGATTAGGAGACAACAAAACAAAGACAACAGCAGGAGATAAGGAGACAACAAAACAAAGACAACAGCAGGAGATAAGGAGACAACAAAACAAAGACAACAGCAGGAGATAAGGAGACAACAAAACAAAGACAACAGCAGGAGATAAGGAGACAACAAAACAAAGACAACAGCAGGAGATAAGGAGACAACAAAACAAAGACAACAGCAGGAGATAAGGAGACAACAAAACAAAGACAACAGCAGGAGATAAGGAGACAACAAAACAAAGACAACAGCAGGAGATAAGGAGACAACAAAACAAAGACAACAGCAGGAGATAAGGAGACAACAAAACAAAGACAACAGCAGGAGATAAGGAGACAACAAAACAAAGACAACAGCAGGAGATAAGGAGACAACAAAACAAAGACAACAGCAGGAGATTAGGAGACAACAAAACAAAGTCAACAGCAGGAGATAAGGAGACAACAAAACAAAGACAACAGCAGAAGATTAGGAGACAACAAAACAAAGACAACAGGATGAGAGGAGACACCAAAATAATGACAACAAAAGGAAATGAAGAGACACCGAAACAAAGACAATAGCAGGCATTTTGGAAACAGCAAAACAAAGACAAAAAGCGTGAAATAAGGAGACAACAAAACAAACTTACAAAGACATTAGCAGGAGATAAGGATACACCATGCAAAGACAACAGCAGGAGATAAGGACCCTGAGAGAGATTAGCCCTGCGCTAATTAATCAGATTTTTAATCCTCAATGAATAACGTTTATTATTTTTATTATTATCATTATTACAAGCTAACCGAGACATAACATATATAATATTGTTCATGTCTGCAACAGCAAACAAAGGAATACACAGATTTAATTATGAAAATAAATGCAAATATAGAAAATAGGTAGACAGGTTTAGGTTTTCCTTTGTCAATAATGTTACATTATCTTCAAATATATATATAATCGCATTGAAATGGAATATAATTGTCAGGAAAGAAGCATCTCTTTTTAAGGACTTGAGTATCAGGTCAGGTATGGTTATGGAGTTGCAATTTCAACTATTTCTTTTTCATGATGCACGCCTTAATCCCAAGGTTCAGGGGCTGCACCCTGGAACCATTGTGGTAGCATATGTGTAAACTTTTCATGCCCAGCAATTGTATTGTATAGCGTTAGTATTTCTACTGTTAACATGTTATAAATATCAAATTGGTCAGCAGGACCACAATCAATCATAGTTTCACTAGTACTAGTGCAGTAAATGTCTTTCCATGGCCAACAAACAAAGGTTAAATATCTCAATCAGTATTTGAAATTGAGGTCAAAGGTCAAAAGACAAATTGACCTTTTTACAACAGCTGAGATACGCTTCACTGAAACCTTTATTTCGGTACTTCATATCAAGGTCATCCAAAGTCCTCGTTTTAGGATGAACATGCCGACATCCTATGATGTTTCTATATAAAAGGTGTGAAAGCAATTCATCAAACAGTCGTCGACCTATGCTCTGGAAACCATTATTTCAGTAATCGAGTTCAAGGTCAAAGGTGAAATTGAGGTCACAGTGACCTTGCTTTTTGGATGCCACACACCGCCTGATTATGGACCTAGACACAAAGTTTGATGCCCATTCATGAAACAGTGGCTGAGATAATGAGAAATGTTCTAAAACTCATTATTTTAGTACGGGAGGTGAAGGTCAAATTGAGGCAACAGTGACTTTGTTTAAGGATGCGACACATCGCCTTCCCATGATGTACCTATATAAAATGTTTGATGCCCATTTATGAAACAGCAGCTAGCATATTGTCTGAAAACAATTATTTCAGTAATCAAGTTTAAGGTCAAAGGTCAAATTGAGGTCACAGTGACCTTATTTAGGATGTGAGGTACCACATTCCCATGAACTTCATATGAAACAGTTTGATGCCATTTATTGTAAAAGCAGCTTGTCATTTTAATGACAAAGTGTTTTGTCATGACAGGCAGACTGAGCTTTTTAAGGTGGACATGTACTTATTAACTGAAGTTATATCTTTACCAGTGTACAGATTTTTAAAACTAATTTAACACGTAACTAATCTTCTATGCATTACCAGAAAACTATTTTTATATTTTATATATTTCCTTAACCATACTTATGTAGACAAGTGGAACTGGACTGGGTTATTTGCCTGCCACCAGGTAGCTCAGTCGGTGCTATTAGTAGATTTCAGAGCGTTCTGGATTCGAATCCCAGTCTGGCAGTGCATTTTGTGCCCAAATAAATAGACCCAAAGAAGGTGGTAGAGGTCAAGTCCCGTGAGTGTTCGGGGTCGATTTAAGACTTCAGTGAGGAAGCTAGGGAAGAATGTAGCAAAATTGAACTGGGTTGTTCGCCGGTGACAAGGTAGCTGCTAGAGAGCCAAGAGTTCGAATACCTGTAGTCTTGCTGTGTATTTTGAATATCCCTCTCCTTTTAGTGTAAAACTAAGATTTTACCAATTATGTAGGGAAATTTGGTTCAGGAGAGCTTATAGTTATTAACCTACTACATAGGAATGATCTGTGTTGTATCTATAGTGCATGCATGTTGATTACAGCACTCAACTTATGTTCAAATCCATCATAGGCATTCAAATATTTTGTAATATCAGTATACGTTTTGATCTATGAGGCGCCATAAACTTAAATCTACATGGAGGTTTTGAAAGTAAACAGTCTTTCATTTTCTCAAATTTATCATACATAAAAATACACTCTTGTTGCCTCAAAAACATGTTTTAACTTAAATAGACGAAAATAAGATCTAATATGGTAATTGTCAAATATTGTTTTCTTAATGTGGTTGTTATGGCTGTAATTTGTAAGAAATCTGAATGACATCTATATGCTTCGATGTTTAAAGAGATTTAAAACATATCTGGTGAATCTTACTATGACTTTCATGTTCTCAAATTTATCATACACACAAAAATACGCTCTTGTCACATCAATAGAATGTTTTAACTTAAAGTGGCGAAAATAAGATCTAATATGATAATTGTCAAATATTTTCTTTTTAATGAGGTTGTTATGGCTGTAGTTTGCAAGAAGTCTGAATGACATCTATACGCTCAGATGCTTAAAGAGCTTTAAAACATATCTGGTGAATCTTACTATGACGATGCAGTCGCGTTTTCAGTCCATGCAGTCCAGTTCAATTGTGTTATAAAAGAAGACATTTTTTTGCTAAAGCTCACCACATGGATGCAATTATCAATTTACTCTTAAAAATATATCAAACAGGAGAGGTATAATAGGCTGGGAAGGTCTTTGTATCAGGAAATCATATTTTCTTAAAAGGCGTTTGATAGTAGAGACTAGTCCATGGTATTGGAGAAAGTTTGTGTTGGTTTGTTAAATCCAGATATGTTTACACAGAAATGTTAATTTATTAGTAAGATATAAACATACACCTCACTATATATATTTGATTGATCCTTGAATACATTAACATGACATATATATACACACACACACACACAATTAAAACTATTCGTGGTTCAACATAACACCCACCACCTTCACCATTATTTAAACTCACCATCACAACATTCATCATCATCAACATACAATAGAATGGCATCATCATCATTACACTCAGTCATTCTCATGCTGCCATAATGACACTCACCATCAACATTATCATCATGTCATAAAAATTTCATAAAAATAAAATGACATCACCATCTTTACACTCAGTAATCCTCCTCATCCTCATTGTGTCATCAGCATCATCATCATCATCATCATCATCATCATCGTCATCTCATATTGTGCTTGTCATTTTGAAAGACATAACTGTTTTTACTGATTTATATACGAAACATACAGATTCTCATAATCATCTGAGTTTTTACTCAAACCATTCTAAACATGTTAAAATGATTATTCCTTTTAATTAGCATCGTGTATCATTACTATAGTGAGTAATAAAATTTCAATGAAGAAAAGGCTTGATGAACTTACTACATGTTTGAAATCTCAAGGATATCCTGAGAGTATTGTTGAAAAAGGTAAAAGTATTGCTTTTACTCATTCACCCCTGAAGACACATTTGAACTCTTCCGATTCAAAGGTTGGAATAGTTCATTATGAAATGTCAGGGGTGAATGGGTTAATAAACAGCAAAAGACAACTTAACAAGAGGCCCAGGGGCCTTAATAGCTCACCTGGTATTTTATTTTTCAATTTAAAACCTGCTGAGTACCATTCAGGTTTATCAAAGGAGTACAAGTAACAAAGTTGCATCTTCCATTTATAAATATTCAATTCCCTTTGCCCAAAGATTCTCTAAAACAAGTTTGGTTAGGTTAAAATCCCTTCAACGGTACAGAAGGAGAAGGATCTTTAATGTTTTCCCAGTTCCCCTAATGGGCCCCACTAATCTGCCCCAAAGAAGGGGAATCCACACACCTCAGTTTAAACAAAATTGATTCTTTTCTCCCTAAGCATGCTTCAGACTGCATTTGGTTTAAATCCCTTCACTTGTATAGTAGGAGAAAAAAAATCCTCTATTTCCCCTATTGGGCCCCGCTCCTATGCCGCCAGAAGGCCCACACCCTCCGTTTATACAAACTTGAGTCTCCTTTGTCCAAAGATGCTCTAGGACAAATTTGGTCAAAATCCTTCAATTGG